GCATCTGTTGTCCACAGATCGTTTCGGTTTGCCCAAGTGGTGATGAAAGACAGTTAGTGCCCAAGGAAGACTGCGAAAAAGCATGTCCGACGAATACTCACTTTTGTCTCAAGCATCCAAGCATCGCAGCTGTTGCTTCCTGCTGTCTGAAATCGTGCTTTGGGAATAGAGTTTACTATCAAGGAAAGTGTATTGATCAGCTTGGCATCAATGAACCCTGCCATGAAGATGTGGAATGTGCAACGAATGGAGCAGTTTGCCTACAAACTAATCAAGGTAACGTAATAATTGAAATTATTAAAATTATGAAGAGATTAAGTAAAGTTTCTGTAATCTTCTCTGGTTAAAGGATTATATCTTGCTTAAATATGTATTAATACTCCATTTCTCTATCCGTTGTTGTATTTTTTCCTGAGGCTGAAGTGACCAGCTTAGAATATGCAATGCAGTCTTCTCGAAGTGAATATTTAAACATTCTACTGCGACGACAGCTTTCTGTAAGTTTCTATTGGCCTTAAAGTCAGAGTAAGAGTGCATTTCCATCGAAAGTGCTCCAGAGTATTGAGGAAAACTGAAAATGCGATTCATCGTGCGATAAAATACTTTAGAAAAGGGAACGAAGGTTTTGTTAGCGTTGGAATTTTTGCCTACCATATGTTGAAACGACACGTCACCTCTGACATTGCATAGAGTTTCAAGTGAGGTGCTGATCTTAGTTTCGATTCAGCCAGCCAGGAGTTCCTTATGATTGAAAGTAATGACTACACTTGGCGATCGTTGCAGCGCATGGTCCCTTGTTTGCTTCCCACAACGTGACATTCATTGATAAATCTATAATTTTCAACTTGTACTCTAACTTGTAGTACTAACGAATAAGTTATCCTATTTAACCACTTTTAAATGGTCTTTAATATATACGATTTGCTCGTTTGCATTATTGCATAATGTGTTATTATTTAAACATCAAAATGTTTTCATTCGTCGCATTACGTTAAATTGTGCATAACTCCACCAAGACTAAATTTCCCTGCATATTGCGCCATCCTCCTGTTCCAAGTTGCCCGGGGT